GACGCAGCAATGATAGAATTTTGTATATATATATATATATATATATATATATATATATATATATATATATATATATATATATATATATATATATTAGACTGGTTCAAAAAAATCGAATATTTTTTTTCTTCAAAGCCCGCATTAAATTATCTTCCTAGTAGTAAAAAAAGAAGGCTGTGAAAATTGTAGCTCTTAATATTAATATTTAGAGGTCGCTCATCGTTAATTTCTATTTTACGTTTAAATAACACAGGAATTCTTTTTTCTTAACTTTGAAATTTTATAACTCGTTTTTGAGTGAACATATTGGAATGAACTCTATATATTTTTGAAGAAAATTGAACGTTCTACAAAAAATGTCTCTTATAATTTTTTCGTAAATTCACTCCTTTAATAGTTATTCAAGGTTGAAATTATTCCAATATGTCCAAAAAAGTTATAAAATTATAAGTTAAAAAAAATTCCTGTGTTATTTAAACGTTACATTTTTTATATGTCTAATTTCAACCTTGAATAACTATTAAAGGAGTGAATTTACGAAAAAATTATAAGAGACATTTTTTGTAGAAGGTTCAATTTTCTTCAAAAATATATAGAGTTCATTCCAATATGTTCACTCAAAAACGAGTTATAAAATTTCAAAGTTAAGAAAAAAGAATTCCTGTGTTATTTAAACGTAAAATAGAAATTCACGATGAGCGACCTCTAAATATTAATATTAAGAGCTACAATTTTCACAGGCTTCTTTTTTCACTACTAGGAAGATATTTTAATGCGGGCTTTGAAGAAAAAAAATATTGGATTTTTTTGAACCAGTCTAATATATATATATATATATATATATATATAGCACTGTTAAAATAATGCAGAACAAATTCAATGATTTGTAAAATCACCGGGCGGAATAAAAATCGATACGGTGAATCCCCGAATATTTGCTTAAAATTGTTTCTTCTTTTAGATCTAAAATTGATCAGTTTTTATATATGTACCTGTATCCATATGGAAAAATCTATAAATCCTTTGAAAATAAAAAAGAAATACAAAAAAGAAACCAAGACGTAAGTAAATTTTTAAATAATTTGTTATATTGAAGTGAAACTTCTTTCGGCATAGTACCTAAATAGAGGCTATAAAAATGTAGCATATTTTGAAGATGTAGTTTTTTCTTTAAAGTATTATAATTTTATAAGGGTTTTTATTCAAATAACATGTTATTAAATTAATGCATTAATTTATTTAAAATTTCAGAAGCTATTATAATAGCGGTAATTTTAAATTAATTAATTAATGTAATATCTTTTTTGTATACAAAAATTTGTTGTAGTATACTACAACAAATTTTTATAAAGTACACCTTACCGCCCTTGTAAAATTTGCATTTTTGAACCAATTTTTATCGCTCTTAAATACAGGGTGTACCAGCTAGGCATTTTTTAATTTTTTGATTAATCAAAAAAGTGTCGTGAATAAACACATTTAGTGGATATTTTAATAGAACCAAATGCTTCCCAAGAAACGACTAAATTTACCATAGTCTAGGTGGTAGTCTAATAAACATGTGCATAACAAATTATCAAATTATTAATTAAAATCTGACTGAAAAAATTGTCATTTAACCATAAATAATTAAATTATCAACGACTACTGTCACTTTCATTGTCAAAGTCTCTGATTTACTAGCTTTTTATTGGTTATCAAAAGTAATATGGCTTATTCTTAAAAAAAAAATAAAAAATTATCCCAGCTGGGACACCCTGTATTTAAATTTATCGCTCTTAATTAAGAGCGATAAAAGTGGTAGTGTGCACACAAAATTTTTAAAAGTACCCATGGTTTTAAGTGATCTAGAAAAGGAATCCGTTGTTAATTTTGCTTTAAAAAATCCCCAATAGTACTTTTCAAATTTTCGACCCCAAAATGTACAGGGTGATCCCCTATAATGTCGCCCCCCTTTAACTTTTTTATTTTAGTGTCCCAAAAAAATTAAAAGTGTGGTTATGTAGGAACTAAAAATACTTTTTTTCAACGTATAAAGAAAATTGTAAAATTGATCAGTATACAGGGAAAAACAAAAAGTTAATTTTTTTTCAATGGATCACCCTATATATGAATTTATTTTTCGATTCCTTGTAAAATTCTAAGCATATTTCATATATCATACCATATACGTAAATTCAACCGTTTCTGAAATATTTAAATTATTTTTAAGATAATAAGTTGAAATAGTTTGTCTTTCTCTGTCTGAGTACGTCATTTTTACTTATTTAACAATACTTATTGACATAATGTCACTATAGTAATTATTTTCAATAAAAATTTTGGTATACTGAGACTTCTTGATTTCTAACAGTTTAAAAAACATTTAATAATGACATTTCGAATGCAAATATTTCAGAAACGGTTGAATTTAGGTATATGGTTTGTATATAAATTATGCTCAGAATTTTACAAGGAATCGAAAAATAAATTCAAATATAGGGTGATCCATTGAAAAAAAAATAAACTTTCTGTTTTTCCCTGTATACTGATCAATTTTCCAATTTTCTTTATACGTAGAAAAAAAGTATTTTTTAGTTTCTACATAACCACTTTTAATTTTTTTGGGACACTTAAAATAAAAAAGTTAAAGGGGGGCGACATTATAGGGGATCACCCTATACATGTCACGTAACAAATGCGTTTAAAGCATTTTTCAGTGGGACATCCCGCGTACACCAATCTCAGCGAAGTAATAAAGCTTACACTGAGGTTAACTCTCTTACCGCCAAGCGTTAATAAATTATTTTTATTTTTCAGATTGATTTTGGGGCCTTTATAGGTGGTGACACCTTAAAAGAACACATTCATAAACTGTTTATCTCTGACAAGATATGCACCCAATATACATGGGGGGGATAAGCAAGGCAATCATCCCCTTTACAACCCTGGTCTTGTTAGGGCTATTTTTGGTATGTTAAATAATGCTTTATACAAACTAAACATATGTTTATTGCTAAACATATATTTATTGCAGGAGCTGTGGGTACCAATAAAAACTTTGATTCACCAACGCGTGTTGAACTTCAAAGATAGGTAACGGCGAGTGGCAAAACAGCGTCAACGTATTACCGCTAAAGCCTGATTTATAGATTTCCTTCCTTCCTTCCTTCCTCTCATAAAAGATGAACAATACGAAAATCGTAGTGCCATTTATAGATTTCCGTACGGGAATCTTTAAACAGCACAACGGTTTTTGTATTGTTCATCTTCTACGGGAGGAAGGAAGGCAATCTATAAATCAGGCTTAAGCGTCGAGATCCAAACGTATACAATGAAGATTCCATAAGGCTGCGCCTGTTTGAAGCCGATAATTTATATAATAATAAATAAGGTTATTCTGTTGTGTATATAAATATTTATAATATTTTATTTCTTTGTAAATATAGGTATTTTTGTAATAAAACGACGTTTGAAAAAATTCGAGTATGAAAATTTACGCCTAACCCTCTTGTTAAAATAACAATACCAATAAATGAGGCATTACTGAATTTGGTGGCAATTTGCCGATAACGTATCGAAAATTAAAATGAATAAGTAAATGAAGCATTTGGAACCAGAGTGGCCTAACACACAAATGTTTTTTCTTAAATGATGTTAGCAATCATTTTAGGTCAATATATATATATATATATATATATATATATATATATATTTCGGTGCTTTTTTCGGAAATGAAAAACTTTGTTAAAAAAAGCACCCAAATATATATATTATATATATTTTCCTAAAATTATAACCCCATTTTAGAATAAATGTTTGTGGGTAAGGCCACTCTGGTTCATTTATTTATTTACTTTAATTTCTGATTCGTTATCGGCAAATTGCCACCAAATTCAGTGAATTTGAATAGGTAAATCATTTCCTATCCGTTGCCCACAATACGCAAAAGGTTTCCCGTCTGTTGCCGGTGGGTTGCACACTATAAGTTGTCAGGAAACATTTCCGCCTCTATAAACTCTTATGTAGTCCACAATAATTATAAGCAAAAGGTTTCCCGTCGGTTGCCGGTGGATTGCACACAATATGTTGTAAGAAAAGATTTTTGTCTACAGACAGGCAAATGGTGGCACCCACTTTAAGTGGGCCACTTAACAGCAAACGGCTACCAAATCAAGAGAACGAATAGTAGGCAACTGACCGGCAAACGGAAGGACGCTGGTTATCTGGGTGGGTTTATGTCTGACCATCAATCCCTTCTTTTTTTCCTTTTTAAGGGGCCTTTTGGTTTTTGCTGTTGTTTTCTTGGCCTCAAGAAAATTCTTCAGGCAAAACTGGTTTTTCTGTTGTTGGAATGCTGCTCTTCTCTCTTTGACTGCTCTGGAACACTCTTCTCTTCTTTTTTAATTTGGGTATGGCTGCGTTGTATATATGCAAAGCTATTTCTTCATAGGAGTTGGGATGTGGGAGGAGTTGGATGTATAGAGATCCCAGTTAGCCAGCTTTGTGTTTGGAAGGTTTGGAGTTGTATTATGAGGGTTTTTGTTGTTAATCTCTAGCTTAATAGGGAAGTGGTCACTAGACCCTGGATCTTCTAGTATTTGGAATATGACAGAGCGTGATATTGAGGGGGTGGATAGTATCACATCTTTTTTAATTTAATATAAAAATTTGACATCTTCTTCGGCCGGTAATACAGATTCCCAACAATGGTGACTATTGTTTTATAGATGGCGCTCTACACAAATATTTAATTTAAATCATTTTTAGATAATAATAAGTATTTGTCGTAGAAAAAGTATACTAGTATGCAACTCGTTTATAAACTTTTTTAGACACTCATTCAATGAAAGCGCAGTATTATGTTCGAATGTAGGTAGGCAACACAGATTACAAATGCGCTCTTTAAAAGTTAATAACTCCTGCAATTTTTGCGTATTAAAAGAAAAGGATAAAAAATTTTTTTTTGGAATTTTTTAGTACTTAATTAACTTACTAACCCAACATTTTTTTTGAAATAGGATAAAGCTGAAGAGCTCAACTCCATCGACAGTTGCGAATACATTTGGGAAGCTGGCGTAGGCTTCGCCCATTCCCCGCCCAGAAATCCCGCATATGACGCGCACAGATGCGAGCTACTCAAATTGCTTTTAACGTGTTTCAGCGAAACAATTTACCAACCGCCTACAGATATATCGCAAGTAAGTCTTTTGACGATATTTTTTATTCTTTACAGATTCATAATTTGCTTGATTTCTTTCGATATTAGTATATTTTTATAGCGAAATTGTATAATTGTGGCTTTATGGCGCTTAGGCCCGGGCTGAAGTTAGTTTTAAGTTAGTTGACAGTTGTAAAATGTCATACAATCTTTAAAATAAGGTGCCTTTCTTGTAAAATAATACTAAATGTAAAAATTATGTTACTATCTCAATACAAAAATACAAAAGTATTAAATAGTTTCTTGACACCAATATTGGAAAATTAGTTAACTAGATTTAACCGATAAAGCGTTAAAAATTTTGCGTACAGTGCCCATAAAACATTATCTTCTCTTTTACTGACAAAAACTGCTTCTACATTGATTGTAAGTTTATTTTCAATGGATAAACTCTGATTTACACAGACAAATTTGAGATTTTAACGCCGGCGCGCCGGTAAATTCCCAAGTTAGAAATTCCAACGGGAATTCCAATAAATACTGTCACTTAAAGTGTCACGTTGTGTACCATTAACATTTCCCGTGTAAGAATGTTTAATACTTTGTGATTACATTTAGCAATTATCAAAGGATAAAATATTCGCTGTGTCTAGTCTCACGCTAGCGTGAACGCAATTTAATTTTTATTCTCACGCTAATGTCAAAATAATTTTAATTTTATTTTCACGTTAACTTCGTATTTATAAATACAGATTAAAGCCTTTTGATTTTTGGTTAAACCGAAGGCTGCCAACTTTGCCCAGGGGCGGTTTTAGACATCTACTGAGGGGGGGGGCGAAAATAGAAAAAGCCCATGTGTAGTGGACATAATTCTGCCAGCATTATTCTATTTAATTTTACTTTTTAGGTGTCGTGTCATTTGATTTGATTATTATTTGATTATGTCATTTGATTTGATTATGTAAATGTAATAAAATTTACTAATAATAAAATCGAGACTCTTTTACTGCAGCCAAACCAATCCAAACTCAACAACACAACCCAACCGACCCCGCCTCATTGGGCCCCCCCCCGCCCCATTGAGCAAAAAACCCAACTAAAATGGGCAAAATGAACGATTTTCCAATAGTTAGTTTTAACTCATCATTATTGTTGTTTTTGTCCATGGCAATCATATACTTACCACAGTATATGATGGCAATACATTTTACGTACACTTGTAACAGGGCAGATTTCACAAATCGGCCAAACCGCCTGCCAACGTTTAAAAAACCTCAAAACCGCAAAAATTAGATTCACAGAACAAATTAGATTCTTGAAAGAATCTTTGGTTATGTTACCTTTAGTGACGTCACCGCGTTAGAATAAGAATAAAATTGCGTTCACGCTAGCGCGAGACTAGACACAGCGTAAAATATTTTCTTAACATAACCATATTTTGAAGTTATTTTATAACGTGCAATGTTAATGGTGAAAATTACGTCAAAAATGTTTATTGGGATGGTTACTTTATTTTCGTATAGATGTCGCTTTTTACAAACATTTAATTTAAGTCATTTTTTAGATAATATTAAGTATTGATCGTAGAAAAACTTTTCTAGGTACTTAAACCAATCACAGTACTTGATATAGACATGCGCTGTAGGGCTATGGCGCGCAGATACAAAATATAATATTTAATATAATACGTATTATTATTGAGAAAATGTACTTAAGTTAAATTTTCACCTAGGTATAGGCACATGTTTAGCTTAAATAAAGTTTGTGTTTCATAAAAAATTTATAAAATAATAGGAGTACATCAAATATACTTGGTGTTTAGAAGTTAATGTTAATTATAATTTATAACAGCTGTTTTTTTAAATTAATACCTACTTATTATTTTCTTAAAATTTAACTACTACTTAATTATAGAACTAATGCAAAGCCACCCACATTTATATGGCAAATCTTTAAAAGATTTTATAGAAGATAAATAGCCATGTAAAGAATAAAATTAAATAGCCATGGTCAAATTGCCAACATTCTTAAAGTTGAAGTTAAAATAAATATTTAATATACAGGGTGTCCCAGAACGAGCGCCGCAGAGAAAAAGGGGGCGTGCCGACAGCAATGGAGATGCAAAATTTAAAAATAAAAAATTTCTAGGTAATAGTGTAATCGAATGAGAGCAAAAAAGCGGCAGCCAATACCGAGAGCTCTCGCCTAGGTTAAACGTAGGAGTTTTAAAAGTTGCTAGGAGACGATAGAACATTGTTGTCTTAAAAACATTTAAAAATCTTTTGGCCTGTATTTACCAAGTGTCAACAGCTTTTGGTGACTTTTAATTCATTTGGTGATTAAGTGAAAACTTTTTTTAAAAGCCTTATTTCTGGTGATTTTTTCGACCCTGATATTTGTAAATTTTCCTAAAAACACGTTTAAAATAGGTTAAAATGTTAAATGTTAAAATGATACCCAAACATACAATCTGTCTAAAATTTTAATCTCTAATGTTTTAAAATCTGGTTACAGACATCAATACCTTATATAGTTTAGGGAACCAAAATATTAAAACATTAATATTTTTGCCCAAAACTAAATTTTGGAAAGTGTGTAATGTCAAAAAAGGTTTCCAGAGCTTTAAATAAAATAAATAAAACTAAAATGCAAAATAGATTAAACTCCATAACATTAAGTGGAATTTTACATAAAAAGTAAAAGATTAATTTTAAACTGCTTTTTTAACTTTCCGGTTACTACAGATATTATTAAATCGCACAAATTATAGTATGTACCAATAAAATGTTTTTTTTATAAGAACAAATCTGTAATAAAATGTGCTTTAAAGCATTGTATTTAGTTTCATTTAATTATTATATGCAAAAAATGCAAAATCCGGTGATTATTTGTTAAATCTGGCAACTTTTAAAGCAAGTGTCTGGTGATTTTAAGTTTTTTGACCTGGCAACATTGGACTGATACTTGAGAACGTCATTAGGTACGTTCTTTTCATCTGAGATCCATTGGCGGCTCGTGGGTGTACATGAGGGTGAGGCTACGTAAGGTTAATTTTGTCTAAATACGAATAAATTTCACGTGACCCGGGAGGTATTATTCTGCGACGCATTGACCTTTTTTAAAATGGAGGTCATCGCCGATAGCCCTACTAAACCATTATTAAACTTTTTTCAACACTTAAATTTAAAAATTGTTCATCTCAATATAATACAGAAAGCTCATTTTTTAGCCTATCTTTGTCAAAAATATTTGGATAACTTTTTAATAAACTCTTAAGTAAGTTATCTGGAAAGCATTTTGCATATTCCGAATATTTTGTGCTATCAACTAAAGCAAGAAAACTTATGTTATTTAAATTTTCAAACCGCGTCTCTAATTGAAGAATTATGCAATCTATTATTTCACCTCGCCGACGGTGGACTAGTGGTTAGTGCTGCTGACTACAAGCCGGAGGTCGTGGGTTCGAATCCCACCAGGGGTATGGCTGTTTATTTGTGTTTGTCCTATTGTGTAATAGTCTTTCGGAGGGGACTTTAAGCCCGCGGTCCGTTCCTACCCCTAACCCGCACAAGCCTTTCAGTTGGCTTCTGGGACTTCTTAGGAAGTAAGGGTGGAACTAAAAGAGCACTTTTTTATATAAAAAGAAAAAAAATATATATAAAATTTGCTTAATAAAACACAATAATTAAATAAGAAATTTTAAATAATTTAATCTGAATCAAAACAATAACGTGCCCCCACAAGCGATCATCGGTCATGTGATAAAACCACCAATTAGAACAAGCCAAGCTAACTAAATTTCGCCTCATCTACGGTATTTATTCGCGAACTTCCGGCGATATTTTTGTTGGTGAGTCATTTTCGCTTTCTAGAGGTAAATGGGAGCTTCCGAGGCTGTGAAAATTTCGCCTCTGTCTTAGCGACTCTCAACGATACACGTTACCTTGACGCGCTTTGCACCTGGATTTTTATTTACGCTTAGTATGATTGATTGGTCGTTCGTTCCTTCATTTTAAGGGTGAGGCGCGGCCTCAGAGGCCTACCCTGACGAGCCGCCACTGCTGAGATCTCAGTTAATCTCGGCTCACATCGGTAAAATTTGCAAATGTGCGCGTTCTTTTTGCTTCATTCACCATAAAGTGAGCTGAGATTTTTCCTCCCCCCTCACCGATACTGCACATGCTTTGCGGGGGAATCAGTTTGAATTAAGTCGGAAATAAAGTGGAGGGGATAAAGAAATTATTGATTTGTTAAGATTTTAAATACGATGTGGCTCCCGTCCCGAGGCGGGACTTAAGTTCAGTCCCGATTGACGTCACACACTGTTAGACACACATTTCCGCACCGTGCCCGACACGTGAGTCGGCCGATAGTCGGACAACACACGGGAAAAGAATAAAACCATGTAAACCAATGCCAGAATCTGTCAAAAAATCCCCTAGATTTTGTTTGAATCCACCTTAATCACAAAAATGACACATTAATACAATGCAAATTGTCATTTTGACGTTACTCATTATTGTTAATTGTGTCATTTTTGTAATAAAGGTACATTTAAACAAAATCTAGCGGATTTTTATGACAGATTCTGACATCCCTGCCATTGCGTTAGTCCCCACCTCTCCGATTCTACGCCGCACCGATAGCACACCGACAGTCCGCGCCGTGCCAGACTAGTTTCGTTTATATTTTGACGGGCACGGTGCGGTCTCGTCTCGTTTTATAACCTTAAAAATGGAAATTTTAATAGAAAAAATAAGAAAATATCCAGTTTTGTACGATCAAACCCACGAAAAATATCGAAATTGCGATTACAAGGATAGGGTTTGGAAAATAATTGCGACCAATTTAAATTTTGAATTTAAACATTTTGAAAGGAAAGACACGGCGCGGCGTAAACACGGACAAGTGTGGTTTCAATGGGACCGAGCGTAACGAGACCAACACTCGGCCGACACTCGTGACGGGCACGGTGCGAAAATGTGTGTCTATACCTTAATCCGTTTTTATTCCCCGAGATTTTATAATTTGTGTCAAGCT